GAGATCATCTTTCTCGAATACAGTCATCCCCAAATAGCACAATGCACTTCAGAAAAGGCTTATTAAAACTTTATACAATAGTATTATTGTTTCCTTTTCCCTATTTCGAACACCTCTTGACGTGTTCTATGGTCATGCTTTCCTTTCCCATCACCACACTCCATTGGTGATTCACAGTCATCCTGTGACCAACCACTGCACACACTTATTTTCAACTAATGAAGATAGAGTCTGCAGCAGAGGCTTGTATTATTAGTTAGAGGTTAGCTGACAATTTAATTTTTGCCCCATTTCTTACTTCTCAAAGTCATCTAGTTATTGCAGTTTAAAATGTAATGTAGTTAATGTACTAATTAGGGTTTGATTCTCCCCTTCCAGTTAAATTACTGAGATAAGCAATCGACTCTCAGTTTTGGGTGCATTTTACAATCAAGTTCAACCCTCTAATCTAAATGTTCTTCAGAGTGCAAGGCTGGTTTCTCAGCTATCTGGAATGTCTGGTTATCACTTCCCTGACAGAAACTAGCTCTTTTGCATTGGTAAGTACAGGCAGTACCCAAGCCAAAACGAATAGTGGAAGGAAACACAAACAACAGAGATATGACGTATCATCATACGAGCTTTCTGAATGTGTACAAGCTGCTTTCTGCAATAATTAGTGTGTTACACGTTTCTTAGTTTATACCCGCTACAACAGGTTCTGCTGAATTTTTTGACAGGCAAAACAGGAGAACCATGAACTTAAAAATTACTTAAAGCTCTACGGCGTTTGCATTGGTAGGTAGCTTATTAAAAACCTGAAGATCCAGCAGTACCATAAATGCATTCAACCAATGGAGTGGAGACAGCACCCAGATGCTGCCATATCTTTGGAGAATTCTTCTACCCTCAGCAAAGCATGCAAGAGGAAGCATTCATCTGAGAACCGAGATCCCAGTTTTAATCTCTCATCTGATTATTATCTTCTGTCTTGTAATGGAAACTATGAACAACTTGACAGCAGCATGTAAATGTGTGCATCATAAAAACCAGTGTCTATGAATATCCAGGCTAGATCTAAGGCTTATGATATGGACACACTAATTAAATAATAATATACTAATTCTGCATATAAGTATCTGCAGACTGGATTTCCGAGAGGTAGCAATAGCACAGCTTTCCTGTCCAGTAGGGACCCCTGGTGTTCAAAGTTGTTATAACAACCATAAGCATTCCTAGCAGAAAACGCATCAAATCAATTACTTTGGAATCAACTGCCTCTCTGTGTCCACACAAATTGCAGACTGTTCCTCGGAGGATAAGAAAAAACATGTGGCTCTATTATTGAGCTTCATGTGAGTATCTTACAGCCCTGTCACAGTTTAGTCACAGAATTGTTAGAGTTGGAAGGGACCTTCTAGAGACCATCTGGTCCCACTCCCCTGCCAAAGCAGGGTTGCCCAGAGCACATCACTCAGGAGCATCCAGGCGGGGCTTGAAGATCTCCAGAGAAGGGGACTCCACACCCTCCCTGGGCAGCCTCTGCCAGGGCTCTGCCACCCTCACCCCAAAGAAGTGCTTCCTCAGATTGGAGTGGAACTTCCCATGGTCCAGCTTGTGCCCGTTGCCCCTCGTCCTGTCACTGGGAACCACTGAAAAGAGTCCGGCTCCATCCTCCCTCAACCCACCCTTTAGACACTTATAAGCATTAACAAGGTCTCCCCTCAGCCTTCTCTTCTCCAGGCTAAAGGGCCCCAGCTCTCTCAGCCTTTCCTCATCAGGGAGATGCTCCAATCCCTCCATCATCTTTGTTGCCCTACGCTGGACTCTCTTGTCACAGATGGAGTGATTAACTTCACTAGTTAGAGTGAAGCAGAGAAATATTTATTAAGGTGAAACAGTGATTTAACAAAACCAGTAGTGTGATAAAACCAGTGGTAAATGCGATAGTGTTTACAAGATTCGATGTCAGGGTACACTCTATTATTTACTGCACAGAGGACAGGGTCAGACAGAACTGTCAGGGAGACCCTCCCGTTGAGTCACGAGGTTCAGAAAGGACCCCCTTGCTTTCTAAACTCCTTCTCAGAGAGGAGTCTAGGTGCGGCTGGATCCAATCCTAGTCCCAGACTTGGTCAACGGTTTATGTCTAAAGGATTATATATGCACAATTAATCCTTTACATTACTTAGATAAAACTTCAAAGTTTAGCATGCTATTAGTCACTTACCGAAACTCTGTTGCGGCAAGGATTCCCTCAACCTCGAGGAGTAGAACCAGAAATTTGTTGCAGCAAGAAATCTCTCAACCTCGAGGAGCAGAACCTTCAGTGAGCATCCTCACCAAAGGGGAGATCCTGGCGTGCAGCCTGCTGCCATACAGGAGAGCTCAAAGGGCTCTTGGGCTGTCCACTATTTATACAGTAATATAATTGACCTATAGTCATATTTTCATGGCAACAAAATTTCTAGGTCCCCACTCCAGACAGTATTTTGACTATGCTGCCAGCCATCCCCCAGAGACCGGGTGCAAGTTATCACAGCTGCTGTTGTGATGGCCGTGGTGGCCAAGGCCGGGCAGGAGCCGAGAGGGAGGGGGGGGGCAAACCAGGGAGAGCACACCGCCACATCTCTCCAGCAGTTCCCTGTCTCTCTTGAACTGGGGAGCCTAGAACTGGACGCAGGATTCCAGTTGTGGCCTCACCAGCGCAGAGGAGAGGGGGAGAATGACCTCCCTCCACCTACTGGCCACACTCTTCCCTGTGCAGCCCAGGATCCCATTGGCCCCCTTAGCAACAAGGGCACACTGCTGGCTCATGGATAGTTTACTGTCCACGAGGACCCCCAGATCCTTCTCTAGTCCTGCAAACGCTTACATGGTGTCCCCCATTGTCATGGTATGGAGCAGAAGTTGGTGACAGAGGACATCCCTACAGCTTTACTACCCTAACGACAGGCTTCTGGGTCTGGTCTGCAAGGAAATTTTGCTCAGTCCTTGCCAATTTCCTGGTGCACGAGGCTCTCCTCATTCTCCTGGGATATCCTACCTTTCTTGTCTCTCACAGGGGCAGCTGTAGCAAACCAACGCAGCTTGGAAAACAGCCGTGAAATACTGCGCGATTGCTGCCTTAACCCACAGACCTAAAGCTCTCCGTTGCTTTCTTCTGATCAGTTGCATCAAAATTACTGAGTTTACCTTAACAAAAATGAATGAATCAACTGCCACATCATTATTGTTTTAAATTAACTGCCACAAGCCGCAGTGCACTTTGAGACAGGCTACTGAACACACATCTACCACGCAGAATGTTACAAAACCTCCTACCTGCATTTAAAATTCAATTTTTGTTGCAGAAACCGATTGCTGAAAATCATGTTTTGTCCTGGAACCTTGTGTTTGACACCTTTGTTGCCCTGATCTAGCCCAGATCTGTGTTCTGTTCCTCTCCCTGCCCTAAGCATCTTCCTTCATTTTTCTCTCTTCATTCAGACTCTTGGTTTTCCGGAAGCGGGGAGGGAGGTATTCTGCCTTTTCCAGGCAAATTCTATTTTATGTCTAATTATGTCTATGTGAGAAGATTGCCTCTAGCATTCCTAGAAATAACTAATGCTCTTGCGGTTCTCTGCTGTTTTCTGCTTCTTGACTCGACAAGGCATTTGTAGACCTCTTTTACCTGGAACTAAGGTGCCTTTGTTCTGTACTGCATCCTAAGGAGCCATCACAAGGACCTTTTCAGAGTCACCAGCACAGGTTCAAGGAATATTATAACATCAGAGGGGAAGTACCCTAGGAATACATCCTTATTCTACAAACCAGCATGAAGGATTGTTAAAAAAATGAAAAGTATTTCTGGTACAATTTAAGTTAACAGCGTTACCATTTAACTTCACAAACAAAATTTTCACATACTTCTGCAGCAGCTGTGTAACACAATTAGCACTCCAGCGAGAACATATGAAAATGCCACAGGCATTTAGTGGCTCGGGAACATGGGAAAACCAGCCTCACCTTCCCTCCCTTTTCTTCCTGTTTGGCTCCTTTGGTAAGCATAAGCAGCTGATTTTGTTTAGCTTTTAGTCACTAGCCCAACGACTCGGCAGAGGGAGGAAAGGTATTTAATTCTAGTATTTTCCATTTAACTGCTTACAGTATTCTCCCATGCTTCCCACCAAGCAAGTCCCAACGACAGTCAGCCAGGCACTGCTGCATGATTTGTTTTTCAAAACAGCAGCATTTATTTCCAAGAATGAGCATTTCCAATTGAAAGGCTACTTTAACACCAGCTGTGTTCTTCACAGGCAGACCAAAACCCCAGAAATAATCATTCAAAAAACCCCAAAACAAACAAACTAAAAAAAAATAAAATTCCACAGCCTTAGGCGAACCCAGGCTTGTAAGCACTACAGAAAAACCATGGGCATGCCTCCTCTGCCTGCCCCACTGAAGACCAGGCCACTCTCGGCTCTCCCGGGCCAGCTCCACGCCTCCCTGGGAGCTCACTTCCCGCATGGAGGGCTCAACACAGGGGGAAGACCCCAGCCCCAGGGCCCCCCAGGCCCCAGACCCAGGACCCTCTTGGCACCAGGGCTCAGGCACCAGGCTCCCCTGGCACCAGGTCCCCAGGACCCCCCAGCACCAGGGCCCAGGCCCCAGGACCCCCCAGCACCAGGGCTCCTTCAGCACCAG